TGCTGGCCCGTTAAATCGAGTTAGCTTGCTTTGCCGGTCCAAGTTGTTATTTGTTTCACATGAGGCGGGCTAGCCTAGCAAGTGCTACAAGAAATTCCCAAACAATTTTATATATGGTGGGAAAGCGATATTTGTTTTAATTTTGAAAATGGTATTTTTATTGAAGGAAACTGCTAATTCAGAAGTTTTAATATTGTTGATTAATGTTATTTTTTAAAATTCTTATATGCTTTCTAGATATGCTAGAATAAAGCATGCTTTGTGACACAATTGTCAATTGCCAGTCTGGCTTGCCGGGCTGGCCGGGAAAGGCGAGATCTTGCCTTGCTCAAATGGGAGCCCATCAAATTAACTAGGCCAGCCCGGTTCTCATGTGAATCAAATCTCAAAAACATATGAAAACAATATAAATGTACAAGACCAGATCTCGGCACTTACAAGTCGGTCCAGCCAGACGAATCAGTGTAAACAGCCCATGTAACAGTGGCGTGCTGGGTACTATTTTTCTGGGGGGGGGGGGGCAGTCGGCTGGCAACTAATATGCGCCCCTATAATATTACCCTTGATAAACGAGGGCCGAAGGCACGAGCCGAGCGCCGCAGGTGCAAGGTTTGTCTAGGGGGGTCCGGGGGCATGCCCCCCAGGAAAATGTTTGAATTTAGAGTCTCTGAACTGCCATTTCCTGGACTTTGAGGGAAGATTTGACAGAAATCTGATGGTCAGGAAACGGCATTACAACGTGTCGAAATTTTAAAATTGGTTAGAATTTAGCAGTAGCACTTAAATTGGGCAATGCTAACTACTTCCAGCAATTAATCTAATCCCAATTCTATTCTCATGTAAGGACCTTGTTTGTAGGAATTATTACATTTCTTGATACTGCATCAAAAATTTAGTAAATATTAACAACACAATTACATGTGAATCCTAAATCTACCCCCAATGCAGCCCATTGTAAGGCCTGTCAACTTGGCACTGTACTCAATTTTGGTATCCGTAACATGTTTACCATGCTTGGACTACTCCTATTCACACAGGCCGAGCATGGATAAATTTGGGACAGGTACCAATTTCATCTGTGCCGTACTAGGCATAAAAAATACCTGTGGTTCCGATTCCCGATCGACCCTATTTTTTTCTGCCCACCCTATTATTTTTTCCTTCCCACTCTATAATTTTTTCAAAGTGATTGACTGTGCGACCCTATTTTCTCTGGATGGTTGCGGGCTGCTGCCAAAATGACATCTGTTGTCACACTAATTATTGAAAAATCCATGAAAAAATATTCAAAAAAAAATTATTTCCGACCTACCAACCCTAATTTTTTCGCGATATGAAACCGGAACCACAGGTGTCTTTTTACGCCCTACTAGATTAATTTTGCTATCTCAATGCCAAACAATTGTACATGTCCAGGGTCCTGATGTATTAACCCAATTAGTGTCAGCACTCTTCCCCTGACGAGTTAAATCGTCTGGCATTAGACAGAGTAAAATAATAAAGTAGGGTCATCTTGGTGCATTGGCACTTAAAGGGTTAATGTAATGTTACTGCACTATAGTGATGATAACTGTATAATGAGTTAAAGTTATTTAAGAGAAGACAGTCAGTTGAGTATCATATTTAGTCCACAAGATATATTCCCCTTTAAACTGGAACTGTCGCATGACAGATCATAAATTAATTGACATAATCTACTTGGCTAACTAATAATTATTAGACAGTAGTGCACAATGCAACTAAATGGTTAATTTGACACACGGGCAGATAGTCTGATTAACCCATTGAGCACAACTGCTCTCCCCTTGACAAGTAAAGTTATCTGGTGAAACTAGACAGAGTAAAATAATAAAGTATGATGCAAGTATGCAACAAAATTTACTGTCTGGTGAAACTAAGCTTGCTGATTAATAGTGATTATTGGTTATTACTTTTTAAAATAACATCGGTCCAAGGTCTTTGCCAGAAGAAGTTGCACCAGATGGTGGTTTGCCTAATACCAGATGGTAGCAGGATGGTGCCCAGATACCTGATGGCACCAGATAGTAGTCTACAGGGTTTTTTCCAGGATTTTCTCTTGGGTCCGATTTTGCAGAGAAGATTGAGTTTAGCTGAACAGCTGGGGTGGCTGCACCCCCCCCCCCCTACCGCGGGGGGCTGACACCTATTCTCAATAAATGTAGTTGAGATGGAATGTGTTAAAGCAGGGGCACTAACAAACACTATAAACTGGTTAAAGATGGGAAATGCATAGTTTTTCTTGTGTTGCAAGATGAATTCCAGCCATTTTTTCTTAATTGTCGGGCTTCCAACTGAAAACTGATTTCCACACGTCACAAAATTTTATAACTCAAACAACTTCATTTTTACTGCACTGAAACTTTGGTGAGACGATTGAGTTTCAAAACTCAATTCAAGATTGAGTTTTTGGGGCCGTTTAACGGCCCTAAAAAATTCTTGAAAAACCCCCTGGTCTATTGGGTACAGGTCTGGAGAAAGCCTGTCTCTGGTTAACATGAATGTATATTTGTCATACCCTGCATCACCTTGTACTGTACATACAAATATGAACTGGCTTTGTTATTGGTTAAATAAAGACTGTTTATTACAGTGTACATCCACAGTTAGTAGTCCCTTATACACTGTAGGTTAATGATAAGTCTCAAGGTCATTGTTCTGGCATATTTTGTATAAAGTATAATGATTACATTTTCAATAAGTAAAATTTTCCTTTTACAGATTCTAAGATGATGGATCTTTGATGGCAATTTCATGCTGTGTTTGGAACAGTATTAATTAAATGCACATGAAGAAATCAATGGACTTGGTGAATGAACAATGGTATACTGTAGATAATATTGATTGTCAAATGGACAAAATGTTAAACAAAATATTGCTTCAGGAGAAACCAGGGTTTTTTTCAGGGATTTTTTAGGGCCGTTGAACAGCCTCAAAAACTCAATCTTGAATTGAGTTTTGAAACTCAATCTTCTCACCAAAGTTTCAGTGCAGTAAAGTTGTTTGAGTTATAAAATTTTGTGACGTGTGGAAATTAGTTTTCAGTTCGAAGCCCGACAAGCCATCTTTAGCCAGTTTATAGTGTCCCTGCTTTAACACATTCCGTCTCAACTACATTTATTGAGTACAGGTGTCAGCCCCCCAGTTGGGGGGGGGGGGGTGCAGCCACCCCAACTGTTCAGCTAAACTCAATCTTCTCTGCAAAAACGGACCCAAGAGAAAATCCTGAAAAACCCCTGCCTCCTTAATTTCGATTCCCAATTTTTATTTCTATAGGAAGTAGTAACAGTAACAAATTACTTTATTAGCATGACTTTACATACAAGTATTGCTTATTAGTTGGTATAAATATTTACAAATGCAAAATGTTTTGTGGTAGTATGACATACTGTCCGTATCGAGTAGTGCAAGGAATACAAATGAAGTTATTGATACAAAAGTACCCCCATTTACATGAGAGTACTCCATTTACAGCGTATAATTGAAGAAGTTTGGGTTAGTTCAACAGCCTATTCAGCATTCATGGTTTCAAGGCATTTAGATCTCTTCTCAAAACAGAAAGAGATAAATTTCGATAATTTTATCACAGTTTCATTATCAGTTGATTTCATTATCTCAACTAGTAAACTGTGTTCATTAGATCTGCTTCATTGGTGCATGGGATCACATTCCAAGTAATTTAAAAAGTTTTCTCAAAGACAGTAGTAGGCCTCACAGGAAGTTAGGAAGTGATGTTCCGTTTCAACTTCTCCTGACGCCAAGGCCTTGCATACTCGGTCTTCTTGCAGAATAAACAAAAGATGGACATTTATTTTTCCCCAAAGTGTCTGCCAGTGTAAGCACAACTAAAGGCAATCATAGTTAATAGAAAATAAACATCGTTAGGAAGATTGGTAAACTTCAAGTAGTTTCCTAACCAAACTTCAATTGATGTCGAAAACTTGAAATGTACATGAAAGTACACAATTTGTTGATCAATATTAAAATCTTACAGTTGGGCAATTGCTTCATTATACAGAACAAAATGTTCACTCACTGTGAAAGTGCACAAATTTACATAAAGGCGAACAAAAACATATAACTTACAAATACAATACCTTTGTCCAGCTTCCAAATCATGTTTGTTTTCAGACTGCTAATTATGATGCAACTATTAATAAAGTTTAAAACCGCTTTCAAATTTTCACAAATTCACAGTCTTTCCTCACTTGTTTATTTCAATTAAATCCTTTCCTCAGTTGCTTTATGAAAGAAAATCTTCTAGGACTGCCACAGCTTTTATGTGGTACCATGGTTATTTAATAATTCTTAAAAATCGTATTTGTCCTCTTTGCAAATGAGCCTTTAATTAATTAAAATTATACAGGATTTGTGTCGACAACTCGCAGAAAATTTCCCCATTTTTCGGTGCGGTCCCAGAAAATAAAATATTTTTTCCACCCCTGCAATACAGAATACATTCCCAATTTTATATTGACCTTCTCCAGGCCCTCAAATGAACAGAACTTAAATGAAGAGAATAGAACACTGTTTCATTATATAGACAACTACCTGATATACAGTAGGTTATTGTACTGTATATCCCACAATTTGATTGGCTTTCTACTAGCATGCAGGTAAGGATATTTATTTAGCTCGGCTGCCAGTAGAAAAAACAAGATGGCGGCTCAAAAATTACCGAAGTTTAGGAAGTTATTCGATTTCTATAGCCTTAAAAGGATTAAAAACGCAATGAAAATCCCCAGCAACTGTTTACAGGTCAGCAAATGGAGTTTTAATAGTTAAACTAGTTAAAAAAGTGTATTTAAAAAAAAATAATGCTGAAAGAGCGAAAGAGCGTCTGTCAATCCATGTGAGCATGGATTACAGTACGTTTCATACCACCGATATTTTCCATTCTGGGAATGTATAAATAAGGAAAATGTCAGCGTATTCACCATAGTCGTCCTCGCCATTTTTCTGCGAATACTTTTTTACCCTACCTGACTAGGTGTCAGGAATTGCATTGCATTTCTAAATGAATACTCACTGTTCTCTAGCAGATCTCCCAGGTGTCTCACACAAACTATGTAATCCTTCAACTTTCCTTTATTTTCGCCAAGATTCCTGATTATTTCCCCGACTGCCTTTAAACTTGGAGTATTCTCCTGTTTCATAATAACCTATCAAAAATATAATTGAATGTTGTACAAGCAAACAATTTCTATTTGTGAACTTGTTTAAATTGGACGTTGGTTTGTGCATTAATAAATTGTACTTTTCACCTGAGCGAACGGGGTGTTTTCAGTTAACGACAACTTAAAAAACATATTAATACGAAAATGTGTGGGCCTAATGGACGTTGCCAAAGGACAAAACGACTACATTGTGGTTAAATTGGAATGGAAATGGATTTAAAAATAGCAAAAGTTCGTTTTGCTTTGCCGGGAAGAATAAACTGAATGCGTAATTAACCTGTATAATTTATACATGATACATAACTTTTGGCGGAGGTATATGTAGTCGTCCAGTGTCCTCTAGTCGGAATATATTTTAGCCTCAGTTTAGTTTCTTGCTTCTGTGTGGATCAAACGCGCACGGTAATACACCATCACAGGGCAACAAACGTATTAATTGAACTTGCAATTCTTGTGCCAGTTTGAAGTGTTACTTTATATACGCTGTCTTGTCCTGCATCTTGATTGTCATGCTCCAATGTCAAGTTACATTATAAATACTTCAGCTATATATGAACCACTAGCTTCATCCATACCTTACGTTCTAAATCATATTTCTGCTGTTCATTTTCTGTCTGTAAGATGTATCCTATCAAAATAAATAAATGGAGTACTTAAAAAGCCGAAAAACATCTCTTGGACAATGAAGTTCTGCAGCTAAAGGTATACAGTGTAGAGGTTGAACCATAGACAATCCAGAAGACATTGAATTTCAACAAACATCCACTTGCAAGCTAAAACTACATGTGTCCCAAAAACTTTTGAAAGTGATTGTCTGGGCCCCATATACCATAACATCATTGCATATCTCAAAAGTACAGGGGATAGAATGCTCTGCGAACGAAGTATTTCAGCTCCATTTCGTTCACAGAAGATCTAATATAACATTTTAAAACAATCAAGTTTCATTAAAATTCTCAAAGTTAATAATTAACAGAATATCAATGTCTTCTGGATTGTCTATGGTTGAACTAAGTGATGTTCGCTTTCATAAACGGCCAGCACCTCATCAACGGTCAGCTCTCCTCACATATATAATATTGGAATCTACCGCGCTAGTTATGGGATCTCCGCTGTGTGTGTAGGAAAATTGTTACGCCAGCATCTATATAAGGTTCTCCGCGGGCAACTCAGCAGAAAGCGGCGGAAATATACCGCAATTTCTATCAGAGCACGTCACAAGATTGGAGAATATGAGAGGATAGGGGGCGTGCCAACCCTGGGCATGAAAGATCTTCATTTCGTACTTTCTTATAATGAAAACTCTTTATTTCCTACTTGAGCAAATTTAGGCCTCCTCCGCAGGAAATTAACTTGATGGAAAACAGGGCGAAATGTACGCAATATTTAGTACATTGAGGGGTGGTTAGGGGGACCTGGCAATTATCCCGCATAATCTCCTATTACCCTATCATTTTTCTGACTATAAGTATTGTGTAATTCTGTCTTTGGCCACTGAGTTGCCTGTGGAGGAGGCTAGCGCCAAGTATGACGAGCCGCACGTTTTGAAAACCAGCGGGATTTGCAAACTGAGTTTGCATTTTTCAGGAAGCGGGCAGTAGATGAAACCCCCCATCCAGCGGCGGAAGTGACGTCAGCATTATACGTCAGCATTTTTTAGGGATAAGAGTGACGTCATTTTTGGAACATTGTCGCGTAACATTTGTCGCGTGATCTTTTGAGATGACGTCAGCAACTATTTGTCGCATAACGTTTATTGTAAAAAATATGATTTTTCAGATGGCGTCAGCAACTATTTGTCGCGAAAGATTTGTCGCATAACGTTTATTGTAAAAAAAAAAAAAATGATCCTTGTATTAAGCGCTACAATACCAGTTCGAACCGGATTTAATATACTGTATAAATTGAGGTCTTCGAATTTACAAGAGCGTAGTGTTTACACAGCTTTCGCAGAGAGAACTTTGAAAGATTTGCTTTGATATATTGTTCACACAGAAAACTTTACTGACGTTTCGCGAGTGGTTTTTTCTAATATAAAGACTTGCTGCTTTCAACTTTTAAAGGTATGGTGTTTAACAAACTATATAGGTAAACTTTTTGTGTGTGAACTTAGGCAAAGCATTTTTGTTTTATAGTTTTTACCGATAGAACTTTGCTGGATATTTGACGTTTCGCAATTTTTGTTTATAGTTATTCACAGATACGAATGACATCAAAATTCACTTTTTGCATGGCAGTACAATTCAAGGTAATCCCTCGTATCTTCGTCTCGACCTTGTTGGTACTAGTCTTGTAACAGTAATTCTTCGGACCGCCCGAGATGAAGGTAGTAATATGTCCTTCTTTTAATTCGTCGGTCAACTGGCCCAGGTAAGGACCTAGCGATGGTTCTGGTTCGCCGGGTTTGCTAACAAATATCACAGAGTCCGTGTCGTAATATAACACTCGCTCCTGAAGTTGATCCAACACCCCATAGAGTTTGAGACGGGCATAAGCGGTGGTAAAAGCGGCGATGACTACGTTCGTTTTGGCGTTGGGTTCGACGAAGTTCTCGTTGTACTCGTAACGAAGCTCGACCATTTCGTCGCTTACGAATCTCACGTCGAGAACATTGATTTCATCCGACGATAGATAGTCGAAATACACTTGGGGATCTTTAATCAATTCTACTTTGGCCATATTGGACCGTTGCGCGAATTTTCCTAAGGGAAAAAATCTAATATAAGTACCTGTAAAAGATAAGTTTACCTCGCCGTCCTTGCGAGAACATTACCGTTTAAAAAATACATACCCCAAAACGAATTCAACATCAGTTTGGACAGTGCACGCATCCCAGGATTGTGTTCGATCTTTTCTCGGTCTAGTTGTATACCCTCGACTGCCAAGTATTCGTCGACGTACTGCTGTTTCTGTTCCTCGGTGACACAATTCTTGGGATAACCACTGGATTCTTGCTTGATCTTGAGGAAAGTGTCCACATAATCCTTGAACAGCACGTCGGAGGTTTCGGGAAAATGCCACACTTCGTGCATTTGGAGGATATTGTAACCTTTCTCCAGGGCTTTCTCTAATTCCACGCTGCACCAGGTTCCCTGGATAGCTCTTTCACGCTCGGAATGAGTACAAGGGGCTTGGTTACACGTATCAGCACAGGCTTTGCACAGAGGAAACATCAGCTTGCCTTGGGTCCGATAGGGAAGGACTGGATGGAAAAGTCCACGAGGTGGTAATACCGTGCACTTGATCAAGCCAAAGTACGTGGTAATATCATCAAAGTTTTCAGTGATGATACGGGGCCGACCAATGACCGTTTTGGTCATCTTGTTACACCAGGGATAGAGACTGGTGAAGTCGACGTACCTGTAAGAAAAACGGACATTAGACTCCCGTTCCTAGATCTATTGGGGTGCACTAACAACATACCTTATCTTCTCATCCTCTTTGCATTCGTGGAAGAGTTTCGTTGCGTTGGTTCGACCACCATAGAAAGCATGTCGTGGTTCCAAAGGATCCACCACATCGTAATCCTCGAAGTACTGTCTCATGTCTTCATCGTGTTCCAATTCTTTCTTCATGTCGCACTCCCACATTTCGACAACATGGAGGCCACGATCTTTAAGGTACTGGGTCTTTTCCATGGTGGCTTGATGGAGATCATGCATGGTCTTTTCGCTGACCTTGTTGACGGTGTCCCGTGCATAACATTTCAAACACCCTGTAAAAAAATATTTCGTTAAAGTACTGTACCTATGTAAAAAACTGACCCTCTAAAAAACTTACCGTGCCAGAAACAGCCATGGAATTCATATGCTGTATGTGTTTCCTCATCATAGCCATCCAAGGAATATTGACCAACAGTCTTCTCTCCACCATTCCGTTTATGTCGAATGTACACGTCATTCTTCTCGGCTGTGTAAGATAACCATTTCAAGGCGATGTTGGATTGCTTGATTCCTGGATGATAGCCGTGTGGAGGCAAAATGGCAATGGTGTTTTCTTTAAGGAAATTCGTCCGAAACACGAGATTGCACGCTGACGCAATGGTTAGACATTTCTCGAACGGGTCAATGTCGGTGACGTCACGGAACAACTCGCGAAATTCAAGGCAACAACGTCGAAGGATATCCACATCGGATCGACAGTAACTCAGAATTTCTTCTTGGAAATTGAACACATAATTGTTCTCCTTCAATTCCTGATGCCATTTCAAAAACGTCTCTTTCTCTGCTGGATTCATTCCATTGGGATGGTAATAAGGACTCGGTGGTAGGGGTCCAATATAATTCTGGTTTTCCTTCCTGTTGAAGAGGTGAGGGAAATATCCTTTTGCCAACTCGTTCAAACCAAAGGTTTTGGGAAAATCAGCCAGTCTCATTGGTATGAAACTCAAGGAATCGATGAATTTAATCTTGAGCATAGGTACATACAATGTAAGGATCTTGGCACCACGCATGATGACTTCAGGAATAACACCGTTCTCGTGTAGGTATTGTTGGATGAAATAACCATCGTAGCCCTGAAAATTATGGGCCACCACGATGCATCCTTCATGTTCTTTCGTGAACAACCATTCGCAGAACTCGTTTCTGGTATTATCTCCTTGAAACAACCATTCGTCACCAGCCTCGTTTTGAATTACGCACAAGTTCGGTTCGTGAGTACCATTCTCTTGGATGCACTCAAAATCGAAGAACAGTAGTTCGTTGTATCCGCTTTCGTGGACGTCCTCATCCGCTTCGTCATCATGCATACTGGTCTCGTGCGCAGGTTTTTCCCTGACAGGTTGCATGTAGCACTGGTGATCCTTAATGTCCACGTATTTTTCACAGGTCGAGCAACGTTTCAGTCCGCAGTGATGCAAATCAGGCCTCAGTCGAGTCCGATCAAAAACAAGATTACAATCAGGACATTTGGCAGTAGACAAACAAATTGATTTTGCATTTCCTACATTTTGTTTGTGCCGATCGAAACATTCTTGACTTTTAAAAATACGATCACAATCACTACATGAAATCCACGAAACAATAGGACAATTTTGAAAATGGCACAATTTACACGTATCTCCGCATAAATGATTTTTTACATGATCATACCCTTTTTTACAAGTATGGCAATACTTTTTACGAGCAACAAAGGCCGGCATGCTTGTAATCACATCGAAATGATTGTCATGCAAAAACAAATAGATCCTTTTCTCTTTATCAGGTCCGGAAAAAATGACAGAATTTTGATGCTCTTTCGAAACAATGTTGATTTGATAATCAGTCAAATACGTTTGAAATTGTTTGACGTGGTCTACACCGCAAGAACCTATAGGAACACCTGCTTTTTCGTGCAAATCATGAGCTAAACGTGTTTGCATTGGCCGGCGATGATCAACTACACTTTTATATCGGCTATCGTTTTCAATTTTGGCAATCGAAACAACTAAAGCTCGAGCTAAACATAAATCATCCTTGTTTTGAATCCGTATGATTGATCCTTTTTTGACCAAATGCTTTTCCAAATTTATTTCAGAACGTTTTGTTCCGGTACCGCCATTGGGCATTTCAACATGGACCAAATTCACTTTGACACTGTCGTTTAGACGAAATTCATGGTTGGATTGAATAACGCGCTCAATTTGAGCTAAAACCCGCTCTGTTGTCAAACGAGAAAGAGCCATGAAAGGAAGAGAAATAGGTTTTTCAAGCTGAGGTGAATGCAACACAAAACGTACTTGATCATGTTCTGGAATATCTCGTGTAATGGTATTCAACATACTTTCAAATATTCCATGAAGACGGTCGTGGAACTGAGAAAGCTCCAAATGAGCAAACGTGTCCGTGAATTGTACTGTATAATCCACAC